TTTTTTACTGATGGGGTAATAGTGTAAGGGAGCCACTTTGGCCAGTGGCTGCCCCCACTGGGCTCATCGTGGCTCCGCCACTGCATATGTATCTCTGTGTGTATGTTTTTGCGTGTGTTCATGTACATGACGTATAATCTCTTGAGGTTCATGTTAAAAATACAAGACTACGTTGCTCTCTCATACTCTTAGTAGTAGGGTACTTAAAAATTACAATGGAGCTTCTTGTCATGTGTCAGTGTGAAAGATATGGAACATTCGAACCTAAGATCCCTCCTCAAATGACCTTAACTAGATTTGCAAGAATTGAAGAATCCATAAATCAATTTCCGTTTTCAAACTGGCCGTTTGATAATAATGAACTTGAACCATTCTTACCTTTCTTCAATGGAAATGGAACAAACATTAACGGCAAAACGTGACATTATGTTGTCTCAGGTAACGGTGCTGACTGTGTATGTGTTCCTTTATGGGCGTCTGTACATGGTTATGAGTGGAATAGAAAGGGAGATCCTAGAGAGCCCAGCCATACGTCAGAGCAAGGCTCTTGAAGAAGCTTTGGCTACCCAGTCTGTTTTCCAATTAGGCTTGTTGCTGGTGCTGCCAATGGTCATGGAAATTGGTCTTGAGAAAGGGTTCCGTACAGCTTTAGGTGATTTCATCATCATGCAGCTGCAGCTAGCTTCTGTTTTCTTCACATTCCAACTAGGAACCAAAGTTCACTATTATGGGAGAACAATCTTGCATGGAGGTTCTAAATACCGAGCTACTGGACGTGGGTTTGTCGTTTTTCATGCAAGGTTTGGTGATAACTACAGGCTTTATTCTCGTAGTCACTTTGTCAAAGGGCTGGAGCTGTTCATCTTATTGATTGTGTATGAAGTTTATGGGGAATCTTATCGTAGTTCGAAACTCTATTTGTTCATCACTTTCTCCATGTGGTTTCTTGTCGCTTCCTGGTTGTTCGCTCCTTTTGTGTTCAATCCCTCTGGTTTTGACTGGCAAAAAACTGTGGATGATTGGACGGACTGGAAACGATGGATGGGAAATCGTGGTGGGATTGGGATCTCACCTGATAAAAGTTGGGAATCATGGTGGGATGAAGAACACGAGCACCTCAAACACACGAATATTCGAGGAAGAGTGCTTGAGATTTTACTTGCATGTCGCTTCTTTATCTACCAATATGGAATCGTCTACCACCTTGATATAGCTCATCATAGCAAGAGTTTGCTGGTATTTTTTCATTAGCTCTTCTCTTGCTTATCTATCAATTTCAGTCTACATTTAAGGCATCTTACGAGCTTCTACTCTAATTCTTCTAGGTTTATGGCCTTTCTTGGGTGGTTATGGTAACTGCTCTTATTGTCTTAAAGGTATGCAAGCGGAACTCAATTACAAACAAAACGTTGTCATTAAGCTTAATGATCTGTTCGTACTTTAAGATGCTCACTTAGAATAACCCAAAACTAGTGAGCAGAAATTAAGTCACTTTTTTGTGCACTGGGCTTTCACCATGGCTCAGATGACGTGGCTATTTGTCTACGTTATTATTTGCTTTGCATCTCCTTATGTTTTACCATATATGTGTCAGATGGTATCCATGGGCAGACGGAAATTTGGCACTGACTTCCAGCTCATGTTCAGAATTCTCAAAGCGCTTTTGTTTCTTGGTTTCATGTCAGTCATGACTGTCTTATTCGTAGTATGTGGCCTCACTGTATCAGATTTATTTGCTGCTATCCTTGCCTTCTTGCCGACAGGCTGGGCTATTCTTCTTGTAAGTTTAACACCTCATGCTGTTTCTTTCATTTTTCTTTTTCTGTTTGGGATTGTTGCGGGGTTTCGTCCACACTAAATTAGTTTTGAACTTAATTTGAAACCTGGCGGAGTTTTAATACCAACCTACTAAGGTCGGCGGGCAAAATACTAATAAGTGTTTCCAAGATCTAGAGCTAAGTATGTTAATACTATTAATTTCTACAATGGGACATGTCCCTTTCAACTACCGGTACGTACTTTTATTTTAATTGTTGAATTAAATTTTCAACGGTCTAATCTGTGATTTTAGTGGTTTCAATGTCTCGCGCTACAAACTTAACACAGATAGTCACAATCAGATCGTTGAAATCGGTAGTTAAAAAAATATAGTCTCTACCGTAGAAGTTCCATAATATTAATTTACTAAAACAACGATCTTTGTCCTGTTCTTTAGATTGGGCAAGCGTGCAGGGCATTGTTGAAGAAGGTAGGACTTTGGGAATCAATAAAGGAGCTAGCAAGAGCATATGAGTACATTATGGGAGTGATAATCTTCATGCCCATCGCCATCTTGTCATGGTTCCCATTTGTTTCAGAGTTCCAAACGCGCTTGCTCTTCAACCAAGCATTCAGTAGAGGCCTCCAGATTTCAATGATTCTTTCAGGGAGAAAGGATAAGCTCGATAAGACATCACGAGCCTGAAGTAAACATTATTTGTTATTCACATTCTTGTTAGACCCACACTTATATTCTTAGAACTTTTACCTGTGTAACACTTTTTTAAGTGTGCCTTAGTTTTGATAAATTATTGCAAATTTGTCTTGTCTCTTTTTTTTTTTTTTAATTTGAAAAGAAACAACCTTGGGAAAGGGAAAGGGAGGAAGAGTTAACCTCCGCAAAACCATATTTTCTCCTTTTTTCTGTCATTTCTTTTTTCCTCTTCTTGTCAGGTTCTACATCTTCCAAATCACACAGGCAGAAACACATGTATCTACATATGTTTCTTGTTTTAGATGTCAAAGTGCTATTTATAGACAGCCAAGTGTTTCCATGCTTCAGATCAGTTTCTACACCTTTCAAATTGGTGGATTTTGCCTAAACTTTTATATGTTTTGGAACCAAGTTTTTTAGCATTTGGCTGAAGATAAAAACATCTTGTCATTGGCTTCGTTAGAGATCAATAAATCCACCTTCATAACTGACTCATAGTTACTGATATGCAATTCTGTTCAACCATTGTTACGTTTGCTAAAGCTAAAACCTCCGATTCACATCCCTTCTATTATCCAACTAATCAACTTTGGATTGGTTTACAAATGAGGTTAAGACTTTTATGATCACATTAAAAAGGGTTGAATTTTACCATGTAAAGTCCATTCTCTAGAGATATAGGCATAATAGCTAGTAGTTGTTAAATAATGAGAATAGTAGTTTGGACATTTTATATTCCACAAGTGTCTTGAGGACTGAAACGAACAAATGATGTTTTTAAAAACTCAAAATGTCCATTTAATATTATGAAAAACAAAAGGGTTTAGCGTGCATTTGAATTGAAAACCCACAATTTTTTAATTGTCTCACAACATAATGCAATTATGCAAATGCAAGGTACAAAAATTATATATATATATATATATATATGGTCCTAATTTGTTGTTGTGTTTGTAATTTCGACTTGGTTATCCTCCAACTAATTTCCTGTCGTTTCTTCAATTCCTCGTCGTTTATTGCCTATTATTGTGGATGACTCACACATTACCGCCGTTTAATTGGACAAGGACATACAAATTTATTCCGAACACAGAGCTCTGCTCAGTGGTAGTCAGTCCTTCCTCTTTCTTCCGGTATAATCTCTCTTTC